TCGAACCCACGGGCTCAGGTAATCCACTCACCTCAGCCTCCCAAGGCGCGGGATTACAGGCTGAGCCACCGAGCCTGGCTAGGACAGCCTTTTCAACAAATGGTGTTGGAACAACTGGTTAGCAATCTAAAAAAACAAACAAAAAACCCCCAAAACTTGGATTTGTATCTCACACCATATAAAAAAAAGTTAACTCAAAATCGATCTAGACCTTGACATAAAACCTAAAACTATAAAACTTCTAGAAGAAACATAAAATATTCAGAACCTTGAGTTAGGCAAAAATTTAGATATAACACCCAAAGTGCTAGCCATAAAAAGTCAGATTGATATAGTAGACTTCACCAACATTAAAAACTACTTTCCAAAAACACTGTTGAGACTAAGAAATCACAAACCACAAGAAAATCTTGGCAAAGCAAAATCTAATAAAGGTCTTGTATCCAGAATATACAAAGAACTGCAAAGCTCAACAATAAGAGAAGAAAAATTTAAACACGGGGAAAAATTTTGAACAGTCTTGACTTGAGAAGATAAACAGATGACAAATAAGCACATGAAAAGATGCTCAACATCATTTGTCACTGGGGAAATGCCAAATTAAAACCACACTGAGATACTACTGCTGTACACCCATTAGAATGGCTAATGTTTACAAAACTGACCAAACATGTTGTCAAAGATGTGAGGCAACAGGAACTCCAGTACCCTGTTGGTTGGGATGTAAAATTGTACAACCATTTTGGAAAACAGTCTGACAATTGCTTAGAACATTAAAGATACAGCTACCATACCATCCAGCCATTCCTCTCCCAGCATTTATCCAAGAGAAAAGGAGATATATGTTCATGTAAAAACTTGTACATTAATTTCCTTTTTTTTTTGAGTTGGAGTCTCACTCTGTTGCCCAGGCTGGAGTGCAGTGGCATGCTTATGGCCACTCCAGCATCAACCTGCTGGGCTCAGGCAATCCTTCTGCCTCAGTCTTCTAAGTAGCTGAAACTACAGACACACACTACCATGCCCAGCTAATTTTTGATTTATTGTAAAGACGAAGTCTCGCCAAGTTGCTTAGGCTGGTCTCGAACCCACGCGCTCAGGCAATCCACTTGCCTCAGTCTTCCAAAGTGCTGGGATTACAGGCTGAGCCACCAAGCCCCGCCTCTTTTTTCTTTTTTTTTTTTTGAGTTGGAGTCTCACTCTGTCACCCAGGCTGGAGTGCAGTCTGGAGGTTGCGGTGGCACATTCAAGGCCACCGCAACCTTGACATGCTGGGCTCAGGCAATCCTTCCACCTCAGCCTTCCAAAGTGCTAGAATTACAGGAGTGAGCCGCTGCACCCAGCTGTACATTAATTTTCATAACAACTTTGTAATAGCCAGAAACTGGAAACAATGCAAATATACATCAACAGATGAATGGAAGGAAACATTATGGCACATTCATTCAATGGGATACTACTCCACAATAAAAAAGAACTATTCACACGTGCAGTAGCATTGGTAAGTCTCAAAATAATTATGTTGAGTTAAAGAAACCATGTAAGAAAGAGTACATCCTGTGTGATTCCATACATCCAAAGATCTAGAAAATGCAAACTATGGGAACAGAAAACAGATCAATGGTTGCTTGGGGATGAGGGTGGGCAAGGAGAGACAGGAGGGAGGGATTACCAAGAGGCATGAGGAAACTTTTGGGGATGACACGTACATTTACTCTTTGATTGTGGTGGTTTATGGATGTAGATAGATAGATAGATAGATAGATAGATATACAGATATAGATATTGCAAAATGTATCATATTGCACATTTTCAGCTTGTGACAATATGTCCACTTTATTGTGTCTCAATTATACCATAATGAAGGGTTATTTAAAATATATTACTTTCCTGGCCAGGCACGGTGGCTCACGCCTATGATCCCAGCACTTTGGAAGGCTGAGGTGAGAGGATTGCCTGAGCCCATGGGTTCAAGACCACCCTGGGCAACTTGGTGAGACCTCATCTCTACAATAAATCAAAAAAATTAGCTAGGCACAGTGGCACATGCCTGTAGTTCCAGCTACTTGGAAGACTGAGGCAGAAGGATCATCTGGGCCCAGCAGATCGAGGCTGCTGTGACTGTGAGTGTGCTACTGCAATCCAGCCTGGGTGACAGAGTGAGACACCAACTCAAAATAAAATAAAAAATAAAATGAAATATATTACTTTTCTAGCCAGGTGTGGAAAAATAAAAATAAAATATATTACTTTTTTGTTTTATTTTATTGTCACCCCCAAATGGCCTCTTTGGAAAGGGCTTGCTCATTTAGGTTTATCCTGGGGCCAACCAGCCCCAATGCCAGCTCCAGGGGTGGTCACAGGAGAGGCAGCATCATGCAAGGGTTCACATCACAGACTGATGCCAGGCCACCTGGTTTCATATCCTGGCTTCTCCAGTTCCTAACTTTTTGGCTTTGGACAAGTCACTCAACCTCTTTCTGCCTCAGTTGCCTCACCCAGAAAACAGAAGTGGTAATAGCACCTACCTCCTTCCAGTCAAAGAGAATTAAAGGAGTGCAAAGTCATCAGAAGAGTACCTGGCCCAGAGAGCGGCTACAGAAGTGCTTGTTTAATAAATAAATGGCTTCAGCTCTGGCCTAGTCCCAGAGGTTTGGGCTCCTGCCATTGCCACCCAGAGAGCCCTGGGTGGAGGCCCTGCTCCCCCAAGCACAGCAGGCGCTTTCCAAAACTTACATCATCCCCACTCCAGTGGAATAGGGGAGGCTTGATGTACCTAGTTCCCAAGATGAGGGAGTGGGTCCTGAGAGGACCACATTTCAGCAAGTGACGGGGCCAGGACCAAGGCCAGGCCTGTCTGCCTCCAAGACTGAGCCTGGGTGGGGATAGGCCAGAGCGCAGCCCACCTGCTTCCTCCTCCATCTGGAGCTCGGGCTGGAGCTGTCCCAGATGGCGCTCTCTGCCCCATCAGACCGTGTGAGCTACAAGCTGCTGCTTCCTGGAGCTCAGTGTCCCTGCCTGCAGATGGCCTTGCTGGTGGATGTGAGGGATCCGTGAAGAGACGTGGACACCTGTGGCAACAAGGCCAACCTTCCTCACTTCTCTTGAGCCATTTCAGGCTCTGGCTCGACTGTTACATCGCGTGCCTTCATCCAAGAAGCGAGGAGACTGGGACCATCTGCTGCTGCCTGGATTCTCCCGGAGCTCTCCTGGGACTCTGGCTCGGCTCGGGTCCTCATGCGCCATTCTGGTAGGAATCTCTCTGAGCAGTGCCCTTTGAGGGTTTGTGACTGGCTTTGGGCCGGTAGTGGGTAGGGAGTAAGGAGAGCAGGAGGGACCAGGGAGCTTGGGCATTTCTCCAGCAGGAGTTGCAGAGAGGGCTTAGCTGCCTGCATGAGACAGGTTTCTCAGCCTGCCTGGTCCAAGGCCAGCTTCCCATTCTTCTTTCTGCTGGCCCCTTCCACCATCCACCCTGCTTTGCCTTCTTCTGGGGAGCCCAAACCCCCCATTCCAGAGTGGGGACCCAGGGTCATGCCTTTTGTGGCTTCTGAGTCACTGGAGAAGCCTTATCTTTAAAATAAGGAGGGCTTGGAGGGGGCTAGGACCCCAGGATGGAGTGCCGAGAACTGGAAGCCTTATTTAACAGAGGGGAAAAAGGAGAGACTTAGAGAACGGAAGGGCCTGGACAGGTACCCCTGGAAGTCAGGAGCAGAGCTGGGTTGAAGCGTGTGCTCTTCACTCTCCTTCCACAGCCTCAGGGCTGGATAAGGAGTTGCCTAGAGCCGTGAGATCAGGGAGGCCTAAGAAAATTCTTTCCCTCATGCCTCCATGCCAGGCCAGGGGCCTGACATCATCCTGTCCTCACCCTCCTTAGCCATCTCTCTTCTGGCCCAAGAGGCTGTTACGCATTTGGCCAGCCAGGGGATGTGCCGGAACCCGTGCTCCATGGGGAATGATATGCCACTCCCAGTCCCTGTGGGCCAGAGCTGTGGTGGAAGGTCAGAGCCAGGTATGTAAGCCCAGGGAGAACCCCTGCTCTCTCCTTGACCTTGGCCTATCCTCTGTTGCTGCCCTCTCCCCATCTAGCAGGGTCCTTCTGTCCTCGGATCTTACCTCCTGGCTCAGCACAGGACTTTAGTCCACTGGCTTCCCCACACAGGGCCTCCATCCCCATGGCCCCGACATCTCTAAATTCCTTTCTGCTAATTCCTTCTTCTAGCGATCCCTGCCTGTCCCCTAGTTGGGCTGAACTCCAATTCCCACAGGACTGTGAGGGTGGCCATGGCATTAGGATTCTGGTTGGGAGCCCACCCTGATGGTGCTTGAGGAAGGAGACAGTCCCCCCTATTGGGAGCAGACCTAAGACAGCTCCACTGAGGCCCCCTGCTGTCAGCTGTGCCCACCTCCACCCCCTGCATGCTGTCCCACAGAGGGACCCCAGGGCCTGGAGGAGGGAACATGCAAGCTCTTTGTATCCAGCCTGATGTATCTCCTGACTTGTAAAGTGGCCCACTTGCCAAGTACAGGAACCTGGGGTGGCAGGCTGTGCTGTGCCCTGTGGGAGACGAGCACTGAATCCTCCCACTTAGTCACTGTGGCCCTTGTCTCTGGTCTGTGCCGCCTTGTCCCCAGACCAAGAGGCCCTGGTGGGGAATTGGCAGTCTGGGCTCAGATTGCCATGGGGCTGAGCTTGCTATGGGGCTCTGTCCCTCCTGGGGCTCCCAGCCGGGTCCTCCCAGCTCCCATTCTCAAGGAGCCCAAACCCTGCCCAGGTGTGAGGGGCTGGTCCCTGGAGGCCTCCTTTAGCTCCCAGTCCACATGGAGGGACCCAGGACCCCCACACCTTGGTCTCCTTGGGGGACCCACCGGAGAGCACTAGGAAGAAAGTCAGTGTGACCTTGGTCTCTCCCTTTTGGGTGGATGAGGCCACCTCTTTTCCCCTCCCCAGCAGCAGAGCTGGCCCCAGAGGTTGGTCATGCAGAAAGGCGGGAACGGGTGTCACCCTTTATTGTGGTGTCCACATTGTAGGTGCTCGAGCCCCTCTTGCTGAAGGAAGGCTAAGACTCCAGCCTGAGCTGCCCAGCGACCTCCTGTGAGTCCACTCCCCTTCTGTCCCCTTAGTCCAGGCTGAGCATTTGTACTGGGTCTCTGGGGGCCTGTCGAGCCTCCTGGCCTCCATCACCTGCTGTCCGATGTGCTTGAGAGCATCACAGTCAGTAGCCGTGAGCCAGATGGGTGGCGGGTCACCTGACGCAGCAGACCTGGGGCTCAGATCCTGGCCCAGCAGCTGCAGAGTCCCACGTAGAGGCAGGGCTGGTGGCCTCGGCCGTGCTGCTCCCAGGCTCGAGGTCCAGGCCCTCGTAGATGGTGGGGAGTGAGGTGCGCTGGCTCAGCCGCCGGCGCAGCCCAACCAGCAGGGGCTGGGGCAGGGAGGCCACATCCACGTTGTTGCCCAGGTCCACCCAGGCCAGCGCAGGGAACTTGGTGGTGTCCTTGATGGCCTCAGTGAGCTCACGTGCGGTGGCCCGTGTTAGCCGGTTGCCATTGAGCAGGAGCTGGGTGAGCTGGGGCAGCACCCACAGGCTGGGAAGCAGCAGGCGCAGCAGCCCGTCACTCAGCCCAGTGAAGCTCAGGTCCAACACCGCCAGCCCAGTGCCATGGTTGCCCAGGTAGTGAGTGATGTGCTGCACATCCCGTGCCGACAGTGGGATGCCCGAAAGGTCCACCGTCTCTCCTGCCGGTGGAATCTTCTGGAGGCTGCTCTTGAGGCTGTGGGAGGGTTGCAGGCAGGGGTGGACTGGGTAACCAGGAGAGACCCACACCAACCACGCACAGTGACCCGCTGAGGCAGGCAGACCCCACAGTCTGGCAAAATCAGGTTCAAACTGTCACCCAGTGACATGCTCAAAACCTCTCTGAGCCTCAGTTTTCCCTTTGGTGAAAAGGGGATGTGGTTGTTGTGGGGATTAAATACACACACATTAAGGGTCCAAGAACTATTATTATTATAAAAACTCACTGTGTGCCCAGCCTTACCACATCTGCTATTATGTTATTTCACTTGTATTTACCCAGTGGGGTGGGAACGATGAGCCCACTCTACAGAAGAACAAACTGATGCTCAGAAAGGGGAAGTGACTTTTCATGGCCACACATTGCTAAGGGGGGAACCAGGTCTCCACGTTGCGGTGCTCTGACTTCTGAGCCCACAGGCTCTTTTCCTGTGCCCCTTCTAAGGTCGATTTCTTTAGGATAAGGAAAACCTTTCCTATGAGGAGAAGGGGTATCAGTCTGGTCCTCGTGGCCTTTGAAGCTAGAGAGGGGACAGATCCAGGGCAGAGTGAGGGAGGTGTGGGAGCATAGCGTAGGGACCTGCCCTGGAGGGGAGGGCCTCCCTGTGTTCAAGTTGGAAGGGAAGTCTAGATACTCAGGAGGATCTCCCACCACCCCCTGCACACCCTTTGGGGCCTCTCCCCTGGTGTCATACAGCCCACTAGGCAGATAGGACTTTTGGGGGGCTGAAAGCAGTGAGCACATCCCCAGGATACCCACCTGCCATGGCGGGCAGGGAACAACCCCATGGGTTTCAGACTCCGTGTGGCCTATCAGGCCCAAAGTGGCATGTGGGTGGGGAACAGATAGGGAGACATGCTAGGGTCCATTCCTAACTGTGATTCTGGGCCCCCTGGGCCTGGGTGCCTGTGGCCAGTTCCAGCTGAACCTGTGCTATGAAGCTCCATAGATGGAATCACTGCAGAATGGAGTGACTAAGAGGGCCCATAACAGAGTGACCTGTGGGGCAGCCTGGTGTTGGCAAAGAATTTCCAAAGGGTTGCAGGAAAACCAGGGTAGGGTATGGCCGGAGGCAAGCTACTTTGCTTCTCCCAGCTTCGTTTCCTTACCTGCTAAATGGGAATCATGACTCAGAATCTACCTCCCCATGCACCTGTTGTAAAGATTCAGTCAGGCCCAAGGGGGAGCCCAGGATTTGTGAAAGGACAGAGATTGAGGGACAAGTGAATGACAGGAGGTGGGACCATCCATGGGAAATGGTGGATGGGTCACATGGAGAGTGCTGCTTGGCTTGGGAACATTCGCTGCCCACAAGCCAGACTGACTTCCGGAGTTGAGGCTCTCATGCAGACGAGTGGGAGCCTCACAGCCACCTTTCAGATACTAGCCTCTTGGTGACGGAAGTCCAGGTGTCAGCCTGGGAAGGGACACTGGAGAAGTGGTGAGGAGGGACTGTGGCTGGGCTCCCCTTACCGGCTCTGGGTCTTCCTCTGGGGCAGGCTGGACCCTCGCTGCTGCTTGGAGTGAGGGGTGAGGTGGTAGATGAGCTGCCGGCAGATCTTGTCTGAGGACTTCCAGAGCTCCAAGTCCTGTAGGGGGCACAGTGTCGTCAGGGTGAGCCTGAGCCCCTCCTGCCCTCCTCGAGGGCCTGGGCAGCCAAGTGTGTGTGCAGACACAGGCATGCACCATGGATCGCTGAGCAGCCCACCAGGGCCTCCCCCTCCCACCCCCCACCCCGGCTGTGGCCTGGCACACAGCCAGGGGAGGCTGCCCTCTGGGAGCTGGACAGGCTGGTCTGAAGCCCGCAGTGCCCGGCGGGAGGAAGCCCAGACAATGGGCCCTTGTTCCCTGTCCTCAGGCCCAGGGCCAGCGTCTCGGGCTATCAGCCGGCTGCCTGCCCACCCTCAGCACCCCTCAGGGACTTGCCACAGGGGGAGGAGGCCGGACCAGGTCCCTCGAGGGAGCCCGGCTCCACTGACGCCAATCCCAGGGAGAAGGAACAAGCCAGGTCAGCATGTTCTTCCTCTCTCTCCAAGCGAGACTGTGCCTGTGGGGCCTGGGTCTGGGCTGACAGGGCTGGGGGTGTAATGCTTTACAGCACCACCACCTGGCTCTCTCCTGTCCTGACTGGGCTCTCGCAGAGGCCCTGCTCGGGGTGGAATCCAGGGTGCATGGTCCACAGAGATGGCACTGAGCATGCTCCACTGCCTCCTTTCATCTAGCCTCTCTGATCGCAGCCCCAGAGCACGCGGCACACCAGTGGCAGCAAGCCCTGGCTGTCGCTGTGATGGCTGCAGGCAAGCCTCAGAGTCCTCGGGGCCAACTGCACACAGACACGGGAGCCCGGAGCTGGCAGGGCCCACTATGGACACCCTTGTTTCACACGGGGGATGTGCTGTGACTAAGGGTTGGGGCCAGTGGCTGGCCATGGTCACACGTGCCAAGGCTATGTTGATGCTCATGGCAGGACATCTGCAGGTGCCATCGGAGGGGGTTCTGGGCAGCTGTGAGGTGGAGGCTACAGTGGCAGGCTCCACCTCAGCATGAGAAGGGCTTTGCTTGTGTTCCAAGCTGCTGTAGGGAGGAAGCAGTGAACCCCCATCTCCAGGGCATCTGTACGGATGGAGACCAGTGGATGGGGACTCCAGCCGAGGGTGACACTCTTCTGGCTCAGGAACTCAGAGGCTGGAGTCAGGTTTCATCAGTGGACTTGTCAGAACAGTCTGTGTCCTGCAGGGTCCTTATATGACTTCTGCTCAGCTAGAGTCTTCCTGCCTGGGTCCCCAGGCCTGGCACACAGTGACACTGCTCAGGACACAGGTCTGCCTAGAGCATGACTTTCAGGGTCTGGAAAGCATAGTTCACATTTGCTCTAGATGTTGACCAGCCTCATACACTGAAGCTGGCATCAGGTCTCTGAGAGGGACAGTGGCCTGCCTAAGACCACATAGCAACCCACAGGAGGACCAGGCCCCTAGACCCCAGTCCTGTGCATTTCTGGCCCCTGTCCACCACACCGCCCAGCCTGGGGCCCGTGCCTGCTGGCCTCACCTTCTTGGGGCACTGCAGGTCCCGGGCCAGGTTCACCAGCAAGTCATGGGAGATGGGGTCGACCAAGTTGAGGAAGGCCACGTCCCTATAGAGGATGTCGGTAAGGAGAGTCCCCTCCAGGCCCAGGTCCTGTGGGCGGTGAAGAGAGTCGAGTAAGCCAGCTGGGGCCTCCCTTCTCCAGGCCCCATCCCAGCCAGCCAGACGCCGCTCGTATGCGTTCCGTCTCTCCGTCTCCTTCCCTAAGTTTTGCTGGAGTCTCGCCACAGATGGTCACGGGCCAACTGGCAGGTAGACTTTCCTGTTCTCATCAGGAAATGGATCTGCCCAGAGCATGACTTTCAAGGTCTGGCAAAGCCTAATAATACACTGAGGAGGGGGGAGATGCACCACAGTTTCCAGGAAGAGCAGACCCTGGAACCTTAGACCAGCTCCTTGGCGGCAAAGTGTGCTGTAACACCTTGCCTTCTCTGGGGTTGGGGCTTGTCAGAAGGATTTGTTGGGGTCTCTTGCTCCTCTTATGACCCCCAAATGCTGCTGTCCCCCAGTGTTCCCTCCGAGTCCTTGCTTTCCCCTATCCCTTTATTCTTCTGAACTACAGTCATCATCTGTTTGCCACCAGATCTGGACACTTCCTATGGGAGTGGACCTCTCTCCAAGCTCAGATGTCCCAAAAGCAGCCAGAGTTGCCTCCCACATTCCAGCTCAGTACAGGATGCCCCCATGTCCATCTTTCCAGGCATTAGGGCCAAAAGCCCAGGAACCACCCGGCACTCTTCCTTCTCCCTCTCTTCTCAGTACATCTGGTCAGTCCCCTACTCTCTCCCCACCAATGCTGCCAAGGTTCAGCCCTTACCCCCTAATAGCCTCTTCCTGGGGCTCCCAGCCGCTCACACCCCTCCAGTCCATCACTGGCTCTGTGAAATACACACCTGAGCTGGACCCTTAACAGCTTTGGTGGAAACTAAATGCTCTAGAAGTCACGTGACATCAGACTCACATACAGTGTGTGGCCACTGAGAATCCCCCAAACCTGACAATCATACCATCCCAGGCCCACCAGTCTCCTTGTCCAGCCTCCTCTGCCACCCCTCACACAGATCCACCGTCACTCCTTGGCCTTCTCCTGTCTACTCTCACAGGCCTGGTGTGGGGCTGAACACCCTTGCAGAGGGTTCGTTTAGAAGACACTTGTAAACCCTCTCCAAGCCAGAGAGTGACATGCTCTGTGCATAGATCCCGGGCACAGGGAGTTGGGCCAGGCAGGAATGTCCATGGGCCACAATTGCAGGGTCCCTACACGATATGGGACAGGACAGGGCCCTCTCTGGGTTTCAAATCCCAACCTCTGGGCCAAAGGAGATGGCCAGCTGGTCTCTGAGAGCCCTTCCCTCCCTAATGTTTCCCAGATAAAATACCCAACCGGTGCCTTGGGCTCCAGATGCCATCCCCGACAGATCTGTGTGACTCTGGGCACCTGGCTGATTCACTGGTGCTCTGCTGTTTGCCACAGATGCCAGCTAGGGAGGATCCAGAAGAAGGAAGGGTGGCAGACCCAGACAAGGCCCCAGACCGCAGCCAGCCTGTCTTCCCTTGGTCTAGACAGCTCCTCTTAAAGGGCCAGCTCCACCCTTCCAGCCTGCAGATCCCAGAGAAAGGAAACCAGGTGCAGGAGGTGGAGAAGGGCTGAGAGAAAGTCTCTGGTCTTGGCTAGCCTCCAGCTTTCTCTGTGAGCCCTAGGATCACTACTCCTCTCCTTGCCTTGGTTTTCCCATCTCTAGTCATCCACCCACAGCAGACCAGACAGCTGCATGACTGATTTCAGCTCACAGGATGGGGCAGGTGTTGGTGACAGCTGCTGCAGGGGTTGGGGACAGGGCAAAGAAGGAAGTGACTTGCCCAGTGGGGATGGTGAAACCAGCACCCGTGTATCCTAGGGCAACCTAGGTCCAGGATCTGGGGTTAGGATACCTGGTGTGGGGGGGCCAGAGAGGCTGCCTGCCCAGATGTGTTGTGATGTACAGGTGCCGGGAGTATGCACTCGGAGGGTATGAGCTGTCTGTTGAGAGCATAGACGATGCAGCTGTGGCTCTGACTGGGCTGCCATGGTGCCTTGTGGCGAGGCTGCACCCACAGACCAGCCCAGGGTCCTCTCTCCAGGGTCCAATGCCTCCCCCACCCCGGAAGACAGGGAGCTGCCCTCTTTCCATGGCCCCTTAACACATGAGGGGACCCCACCTGCCCCTCCTCCCAGCCCCCTCCTTTCTTGCCAAGGCCTGAACCTGGAAGCACCCTCAACACACAAAACCCACCTCAAGTCCCAGCGGCCCCCCCGTCACACACAGTCCGCCAGCCCCACCGGGACCTCTCTCTAGTCAGCCGACCGCCCGCCCAGACGAGACCCTCGCCCGCTGTAGTTCTTGGAACCCACCCAGCGCTCGCGCTCCACCTCACCTCCAGGCTGCCCCAGGCTCCCAGGCCCTTCCCAGCTCCCTGCCCGGAGCGCCCCCCTAGCCTCAGGCCCTCCCCG